ACTGTGCCTGCTTAAAATAGGTTTTTATCTTATCACCCACGGGATAAAAGAAAAAAAAAGTTATTCAAAAAAATTTCAAGCACATATCTGCAAACCTTAGATTTATTAATAAAGCATGAAAGCAACACTTCTGCTCTTTAATTAACCTTCCAGTAAGTCAGGAAGTTTCAGTCTTTAAAGGTGAGTATATAAGGAACATACACAATCAGAAAAGTCTCATTAATAGAATACAGACCCCTAGGAAAACCAAAGGTATGCTTAAAGTATAACATTCAATTAAAACAAAGATGATCTGCTATGAAAGGTTAAGTGTTTCTGCTTATGGAGAAAACGTCTTTACAAATTAACTAGTCTAGGTGGGACAGTTATGTCTAAGGACCATTGGTATACTGTAGCATACACAGCAGAAGAAAAATCCCCAAGGAAGTTGGAGTTTTGTTGCCAAGTACACACCACCACAAAGGCAGATTTTCAAAACTAACACACAAACATTTGGTTCTTATCTCTCCAGAGGTGCACAAGTAAGTAGCTCACATGTAGGGGGCCTAGAAGGATGACAGGGAGGGTCTCTTCATCAGGGACTGTAGTGATTGGAGCAGGGGTGATGGGTTCAAACTTAAACAGGGAAGATTTAGGTTAGATATAAGGAAGAAGTTCTTCCCTGTGAGGGTGGTGAGGCACTGGCACAGGTTGCCTGGAGAAACTGTGGCTGTCCCATCCCTGGCAGTGTTCCAGGTCAGGCTGGACAGGGCCTGGGGCAACCTGGTCTAGTGGAAGGTGTCCCTGCCCGTTGGAACTGGATGGGCTGGAACTGGATGATCTCAAGGTCGTTTCAAGCCCAAATCGTGTTATGACTCTGTGTAGGAAACATGTTAATATCTTATATTATGCCTAAGGACCCATAAACACAGCAACTAGCTTCATCCAAAGATGACAGTAACACTTCCAGGTTTTTCTGCCCACTTTCTACTGGAAAATATCTAAGCCACTACAGGTAACATTTCCCTCAACAGGAACCATCTTGGAAAAAAGAACGGAGTCAGTACACCACTATATGCAACCATAAGCCATGACACTTAAAAGTGTTTCTATTCTATACAATTACTCATGCAACAATCACATCTTCACACGGCACATATGGCATCCTGAGCAGCTCAGGATGTAGGATCAGGCCATCATTTGAGTAATTAATAAAATGAGTCAGCAGTATTATAGTTAATTATCACTTTCTGGGCTGCTCTTAGATGTCAAGATTAACATTCCATTGACAGGAGTGACAGAAGTTCACTTGACTTTTCAAAATACCCACCAGCTGTTTGCAGACTCTGGCATTCACCAGAGACACCTCCAAAAGATTTTCTTTAAAGTCATCGTGGTCCAGTGTTTGAAAGATTCCATTAGAATTCAGAGAAATTTAAATAGTCCATCTCCCATTAAATGCATTTATTTAGCTAAACAGGCGAGCCCTCAGTGCAAAAATAAATCCCATCTTTGCCTACTTGATCTTTCAGGAGTAACTCTGTTCTGCCAAAAGCAGCTTCACTGGAGCCCCTGCAGCTTTCCTGTGGGACTTCAGCATTGGATGTAACAGCACAAGACAAAATCTATCCATGCAATTAAAGGGTTACTACTCAAGTAACAGACAACTTGCATGCTCAAAGCAATGCTCAGGAAGGAGGCAGAAGGAAATTGCCTTAGGAAGTTTCAACTGCTCTTAGCTTTAGACTGTCCTTCTACCCACTCAAAAAAAAAAATAATTTTTAATGGATATAAGCAGTATCCCTTCAAAAATCATTTATCTTCCCAGGGTGTAAGTCCTGCAATACCTTTTCAGGTGTGTCCGGTCCCCACTGTCAGAGCTTGCCACAGAAGATGTGTCATAGGAGTGTGTGTCTGTGTTATCAATGTTCAAGAGAAAGGGATCCTCCAAAATGAAAGACTCTTCTTCATCATCAGTCTGAAGGAAGACAATCAAGAAAGCTTACTACATGTTCAAAACACATAACACCCAAAATGGAACATTAGCAAAACAGCATCAGTCAAGCAGAAAACTCGAGAAGGAGAGGACAAGATAGTCTTTCATGTAAAGAACTGAACTATGCATTATTTTAAGAGACTGGTTCTGTCAAAAAAAATGGTTTCCAGCATTCACAATAAACACAGAAGTGGAGTGGGTAGTCAGTCAACTGATCTTTCTTCCCCAGATATTACCTACTCCATCAGAATTTCAACAGACCTTTAACTAAGCTGCTCTCAAAAGTCTCCAATTGCAGAGAAGGCCTAGAATTATCACCATCTGCTCCAGCTCTTCACCAAGTGGTGGCTAAGAGTCTAGCAATCCCTCTGGCTGATATAAGGGTTGATTTTGCTCTTCTCTGTGCTCTTCTGCTGGTGATAACCCTCCCTCTCCTCTCTCAGGCTTAGCCTGAAATTTTTTTGGACAACCATTCTCCCTGATGTCTTCTAAATTCCATACAGTTCACGCTGCTCTCAAAGCACAGAGCCAGAAAAAACACACACCCCCACCTAATGCTAAATGTACAGGGAATAGAGCAGGTGCACCTCACTTGTCTTACAGCTGGCAGTCCTGTGCCCATTAAAGTGTTCCTTTTTCCAGTGCAGCTGTACACCTTTTTGGCTCAGTCTCCACTAAACCCTTTCTGGAAGATGCTATGCCAGTTATTCCATCCCATATGTACTGAGATAAATAGCAGTGAAGTCAGACTTTGGATTTGTTTGCACTGAACTACACTTTCTTTGCGATTTCCTCTCAAGTTCAAGATTTGGATTCCACTCCCCTGCATCGCCTTACAATTTGCTAATACCCAAATCCAGTAAGTTCCCTCTGCTTTCATCACCCAAGGCATCTGCGGAAACAGGACATACCTCTGTACACTGCCCCTTCTACTATTCCTCTCATTCCCAGACTGTATCTCCTTGGGACACCTTACAGATGCATCTTTAATACAGCTTTTAAAAAGACTTGTCACCTCTCCCAAGCTTCTTTTCCCTTTATACTGGGTTCCTAGGAGGTCAGTTTGCTAAAATACTTGTTTGCTTAAAAAATTATCTTTACTTCCATGCCCTTTTCTTTGTAAGGACCATGCACTCATGTTGCTATTCTAAAAAAATGTACTGAATGGGATATAAACAAGACAGCTCTCCTCTGCAAGGTACTACAACAGCCGACATCAGATGTTGAGACAGTTCAGAGGGCTACATACATGAAATTTACAATGTAAATGGAGTTGTGAAGCACCCAGTTCTCACCTCCTCTCACAATTTAAGAACTACCCAAAAATCTTTGCATTCATTTCTAGCCAAAAAAAGTTGCTCGATGACCCTGACCTTTAGTGGACTTTAATAGTTTTTAGGTGACTGTCCAAAGCCACAGGTTAACATGTTAAATTTGATTAAAACATTTTATATATACCTAACCAGGGGGTACAAGAAACTTGGAGAGGGGCTTCTGACAAGGGCCTGTAGGGACAGAAGGGGGAACGGCTTTAACCTGACAGAGGGGAGATAGAGATGAGACATTAGGTGCCCAGAGAAGCTGTGGCTGCCCCATCCCTGGCAGTGTTCAAGGCCAGGTTGAGCAGGGCTTGCAGCAACCTGGTCTAGTGGAAGGTGTCCCTGCCCACAGCAGGGGGTTGGAACTGGATGAACTTTCAGATTCCTTCCAACACAAACCATTGTTTGATTCTATGTTTCAGCAGTGGACATTTTGACTAAAAAACCACTCCAAACATATTACACATTGCACAGCAATCACTCAACTGAGCACATGCTTTGTCAGGTGTCAGGAAATTATGAAGTTATACAGTTTTATTTGCTACAAAAATGCAACATGAGAAGAGCCACAGGAGTATGTACTGCCTCATCTTAGCTCCTCCCTGTCTTGGAGCCAGCTGCATGTCCAATGGACCACTCACCTCGTTCAAGATGCTCTCCAGTGTTGGAGGGGTATCAACTTGAGGAATGTCGAATTCTTTATCATCAATCTGTACATCAGAAACCACAGACCGAGTTTAAATTGTTTACTCCAATTTCCAAACTCATTTCTAACTAAAGAAAACCAAACCTAAGAAGCAGCTATGTATGCACTCCTTCCAACCGGAGCCTGCCCAGAAAGGCACTATACATACTGCAGTTTCTCCTATTTGAAATGCAGTCTCTGAAACCTGGCATTGCAGGACTGAACAAGAAGTATTTAGTATCTAAAATACAAAATAGTTACATAGGGGCCAGATCTGAAATGTCAAAATCCTTTTTCTATTTGTAAAGATCGCTACCAATGTTACACTGCCTTTCTAATACCCACAGGCATCACTACACAAGATACTTTTTTTCCTGACTGCTTACTAACGGGGAAAACGCATAGTTTTCTCAAAAATAATGGCACTTTTACCAGATGTTTGCATAACTGAACAGCAAGCTTTGCTATAGCAGTGAACCAGCGCAGCACTTGCGTCCTATTCACCCACCCAACCACTGCGGCCCTGTCCCCATAGACCCTCCCCTCACAGCTGCCTCAGGGGGCTCACAGCCGCCAGTGCCGAGCGGAAGGGAGGGAGCGGCCGGGCCCCAGCCGCGGCCGCCTCCCTCAGACTGCTTGTCCCTGAAGGAGGTAGGAAGCGCCCCGGCAGGCGGGGATCTGCGCCCGAGCACACCGTCGCGACGCACCAGCTCGCTGCGGCAGTCCAGCTCGCGCTCGAGCTCCGCCACGCTCAGCCGCTGTACAGGCGGCTCCGGGCACGGGTCGGCCTCCGCTCCCGTGGGGCAGGCGCCCTGCTCCGGCGCCGCGTCCATCACCGGGCCGAGGAGCGCCGCGCCGGTGACAGCACCAGGCCGGCACCGGCGGGACTCGAACCCGCGTCCGGAGACGCCCCCTCCCTGCGCAGGCGCAGCCCGGCGAGGCCACCCTCTCTGGTGCCGGCCTTAAAGGGGCCGCGGTGCCTACGCTGTCGAGAAAGAGACAGAGAACGGGGTTGGTGGTGTCGCATGAAATCCTTGTGTTTATTGGGAAATCCCGCGTCTGCTCCACGACAACGGCTGGGAATCAACAGGTGCCTTAGCCTCGGAGGGAAGGAAAGGGCAAAAAGTTAGTAACAGGTAAAGAAATGAGAGACGAAGATCAAAATTCATTACACCCCTTCCAGACCCATGGTGCCTTAGCTAAAGCTCAGTGGGTTTTGCTACAGTTCGCAGCATTTTGGGAGCCAGCGCGTGGTGTGTGCAGTGGCAGACTGCAGCTGCATCCCAGCAAAGCCAAAGCAAGTGTCACTGTAGGTTAGAAGTCTGGTGAGAAACAAAAGCCTTTGGGAACACGTGGCTAATTTTAGACAAGGCAAGAGCTGGTGGAACAAGATATGGTGCCCAAACGTGTTTTCTTCTAAAAGCCACCTGGAACAGCTGAGCAGCATGTGCAGCTAGTTCAGTATTTGTTATTCAAGACAGAAGAAAGCCCTCACCAAGCTCAGCAGAAAGGTCAGTACTGGCAAATGTAGCTTAAAACATTGGAAGGATAAATGGATCAATGATACCAGGCACCCAAGCTACCTTGCTTTCTTATTTGTGCCTACAAAGACTGTTTCAAGGTGATATATCCCAAGTACTGCTCTGTTAGAGACTGGGGAAGAGCACGTGTTGCCCATTTGGAGGAATGGCCCCTCCAGCACTCAATGAGTAGCAGCAGCTGAATCATCATTTAGGGTTCCAGCTTCAGCAAATGCACATACTAAGGGCAAGAAAGAACATCCTACAGCTGTACCTACCTGACCTATTTAGCATTCCACTGTTCCTGAAGAACAGCCACTTTTCCCTCTTCTTTGGCGAAGGCTCCATCTTGTACCTAGCAGTAAGCGCATGTGCATAAGCTAGGAACATCCTGAGCATCCTCTTGCCCTCTAGGTGAGCATCTGCCAGGCAGGTCCCCACTTTCCACCTCAGCAGGCCAGACAGGGCTTTGAGCAACCTAATCTAGTGGAAGGTGTCCCTGCCTGTGGCAAGGGGATTGGAACTGGATGAGCTTTAAAGTCCCTTCCAACCCAAAGCAGTCTGGGGTTCTATTACAGAGACCTGCTAGAGAGGCTGAAATTAGAAACTGATTTGGAAGGTAGCTTTAAGGAATACCATAAATGCTATGGGTAGGTGAAGAGGTGAAAAGAAGTCACAGCAGTTTCCCTTTCATCCTCTAGAGCCAGTTGACATGTACTCCTTTTACCTCTCGTCAAGAGCACCAAAGTTTTAAAAACTGCAGTCATCCTATCCAGGTTCCTCCACCTAGGTAGGCTCCACAGGCTTGTGAATGCTCAAACAACGTGGTAACTGGATTTCAGAGTCAGTTCAGACGAAAGGACAGGATTTTTGCACAGAAGTAACTCTGCTTTAGAGCTATGCTGGCAATGGGGAACTGAACCTTTCCTCTGGCATGCACATCTACAGGTAAAGGATTTACTGACTTACTACCACACGCTGTCCTCCATATTCTAAAACCTTCCTTTCCACAGCCAGCTGTTCAAGGATGGTCTTCTGCAGCAATGGTGCATTTGCTCCTCTTACTGCAGCTACTAATTCTCCTCCCTGAAAGGCGTGAAAAGCAGATCTGTCAGTATGTGCTCAAGTGGTGCCCTCTGAGCTCTAGAAATCACCACAGCAGCACATCATGTATGGTATTATGTACCAGTCCCTCCACCCTAACAGAGCTGATCTGCTCCAGAACAAGAAGAAAACTTTGGAATTAGCTTGCATTATTCTGTTTCTTCATGGTAAACTCTGGCTGTGTGTTTTTATCCATGTAGCACTTGATCACCAGCAGATACTGGCATATACAGAGCAAATAAAATTGTCCCGCTCACACATGAAAGAAGAGTATCCCTCAAAACAGTTGTTCCCACTGGTAAGTCATGTTTATTGCTATGCAACTACTGTAAAAAAATATTTTCACTCACTGCATAAAACAGAAAGACAGGCTCGCATTTTCCTCTGTATTTTTCCAGACTGTCAATGGAATCAACTTCAGCCTAAAATGAATGGAAAATAAAACAGGTGTTTCTAGAAAAGCATTTCTGCTTTGGAGGAATACCCATGTTAACTGCCTGGACTCAAACATCCCCAGCTGGCTGGCACTCATCCCCCACATAGAGCAGAACAGCTCCACATCCCAGTCTTATGGGGCAAAATGACACTGGTCAGAGCCAGGGCCACAACCAACTCCCAGCTCACTATCAGTGACAAGCCAGCAGATCTCACTTACAGCTCTTGTGGAGCAGGGATACCTATCTCATAGCAGCTTACCCTAGCAAATCCCAGAGAAAAAGCCTGAAAGAGTGAAATCAGGCTCTCTTGTCTACAGGGAGTGAGAGAAGTGACTGGAGGAGCTGTGGTGGCAGCAGCAGCAGTAGGCTGCATACAGTCCTGGGCAGGGGCCTCTATGAGAAACCTCATTGCCCATGGCTGTTGGCAAGTGAAAGCTGGCCTTCAGCAAGGGAAGGCATTTAAAGACAGAATCACAGCATGGTTGAGATAGGGAGGGACTTCTGAAGGGCTCTAGTCCAAGACCAAGACCCTGCCTCTCAGCAGGGCTAGTCTGAATGTAATAGGAGGTTGCTCAAAACTGTTAATTTTGAGCATCTCCAAGAATCAGTGCTCCATAGCCTCTCTGGGAACTAATCCCAGTGCCCAGCCACTCCTATGCTGAATGAATATTTTTTCCTTCTATCTACTTGTATTTTTCCCTGCTGCAACTTGATCCTGTTGTTCTTTTGCTGTGCATCACTGTGAAGTACCTGTCTGCCTTCTCTATTTATACCCTACTAGACATCTGTATCTTAAGTGTTCTCCAGGGTGAACAAAACTAGCTCCTTCAGACTCTCCCTGTACATCAGAGGGACATGCATATTAATGATTCTCTTTAGCGTTACTTGCTTAAGTAGAAATCTGAAAAGTACAGACCACTTGAAGCTTGAAAATTCTTATTGATACAGATTCTTATTGATGTAGCCAAGTGTCTGTATTTGGCAGGCTCACTCTCACAAGCTGTCTCCTGGACTGTTATAATTTTAGCTCAATATTGGAAAGATAAATGGCTTTAGCCTTTAGCTACGAGCTGTTTTCAGGGGGCTGGGTTTTTTAAGCAGTGCCAAATTAGTGCTTACCACAGCAAAATGCAGGAGATCACTGCCAACTTCATTCCTTATTTTTTGGAAAAGATCCACTACTGTTTTGCATGGACCACACCAGGCTTGAAACACATCAACAACTGCAAGCAGAAAAATTAGTAAGAATGAGGTCAAAATGGGTCAGTTTAGACACAGACCATTAAGTTGGTTTGGGCACTCTTCCACTTTGCAACATAAGCATTTGGAAGGGCATGGCAGAAGGGTGCCAGTGCAGTAATAAGAATCTTGAAAACCTCTGAGGATTGAAGTCTTCTTTGGTGACCTCTGGAGCACCACCTTGGGGAAGATCAGCCTCATGTCCAATCAGAACTTCCCAAGCTGCAACTTGTGGCTGTTGCTCCTAGACTGCTGTCTGGAGCGTGGCAAGACCCCTGTTGAAGGCTAGAAAGGCTATAGATTCAGTTCTGAAGTAGAAAATATTATCCTCTTTCAGGCTTCAAATGCTAGATCCGAGAATGAAATCCCATTGTAAATAAACAAGCTAATAAGAGTAATATAGAGGAGTCTTTAGAGGAAACATTGGCATGTCCCTCATAAATGAGGGCTACAATCTCCAAGTAGTCACACCCCTATTAGCGTATTTCTTTCACTCAGGGCCAGAGGAATAGAGGAACTGACTGAATGTCCATATCACTAGTAACTGACTCCTGATAGTACTGGTGTCTTTTTAACACAGAACAAAAGTAACCTATTATATTGACCAAGCCCTTACCAATGAGTCCTTTGAGACACAGCATTTCTTCCCAAAGCTCCTGGCTGTTGATGTTAATCTGTGTGAAAATTTAAAAACACAGTAAAAGCAATGGTAAGTCATCACCATGACTGCTGCAAACATCTTGAGAAATCACTTCCAGTTTGCCTGAAGAGATGTTACCTGAGCACTCAAAACTTTTGACTGCAATTCTTTCACCTTTGACCAGATAGGCAAGGCCAAGCTGTGCTAGAAAGTGTGTGGAAGACCTCAGAGAAAAAGCAGCAGAGAAGTCAGATATTCTCACACCCAAACTCTCATTCCTTCCTCCCTTCCACATGCTCTTGCTACTACCTGATGCCAGCTCCAAGACAGCCATCAGTAAGCCAGCTAACTCTAGAAAAGCTTATTAGAGACTCACAAGAACCAAGGAAAGACAGTAGCAGCATCCAGCCAACACCAAGCCTTTCCCTCTTTAGTGGCAGCAATTACTTGAGCAGCCTGGTTACCCCACGCTCAGTTTGTATTGAGACTACATCACCTCCTGTTCTGAGGGGTGACTGGGGACATGATCCCTTGCAACCCAACAGGTCCTCTGGCTGGCTGACCAGAGCCCTAGTTTATCCTAGCAGGCTGTGCTGTGTATGGCACAAGAGGGAAGGTCTGGAATACCCATACAACCTCAGGTTTTTCCTGGCACCCTCCTGCTTTTATGGCAACAAAACTCTTTGTGGGGCCATGCAGCAAGATCTGAAAGCAGGGAAGGGCTCCAGATATTCCTCCTGTGCCTTAGCTTATCCTACAGCCCTGCAAATGTGCTGGTACCAGCAAGAACAGCAGGCCTCAGGTCTCAGAGACCCTGAGCTCCCTACCACAGCACTTCGTTATAGAAGAAACACAAAGAGCTACTTTGCTTTCACTTAAATGGAAGTCTGAAATGTAATGATGTTTTAACACAGGCTAACAGCTAACACAGTTTGGAGCTACTGGCAAATAACTGAACCAGTTCTCTGCAGGCTGCCTGGGTCACAAAGCACAGGCTTGGAGGAGAGCCACATGCAGACACCACTAGGTTGCAGAGACCTCCTATCAGAGCCAGCATGGTGCTCAAAAGCAGTGTGAGGTTGTGGCCTGGGCTAACCTGAGCATTCAGAGTGCCATTTCAACATGCTCATCTCCAGCACATATCCTACTTGCCTCACACCTATTTCAGACCCCATTCTCATCCGATTTTACAAGCATGATGATTCTCCACCAGCAGTTTCTCACATTACCTGCACACATGCTATGCTACTTCCTTAAGATATTTCAGATGTTTCTTTGATAAACTAGTAAATACACAGCTTTCACAATGTCTGGTCACTAGAGGGTGATCTGAGCTCATCATGTCCTTAACCTGATTTACCAGCTGCTACTTAAAGACTTCCAAAACACAGTGAACAACAGAGATTTAGGCTGGAAAAGGTCTATGGAGTCCTTAGTCTAATCCTCTGCTCAAAGCTCAGTATTAGAGCAGATTGCTCAGGGACTTACCCCGTCAAGGATGCCCTAGACAATCCCATATTGTGCCACATGCTATTTTATCCCATGTTTCCTGTTATTAGAAAGGATCTTCAACATCTTCCCTATCTTACAGGACTTGCCCTGTAGTATGTACTTAGAAAAACACAGTAAGCTTATTTAAAAACAAAACTCCTTGAGAAATGTAAGATCTGGTTTTGTTCATCCTGAACAATGAGGATTCCTAATAACTTTCACAGTTGGCATCATTAACCCTAACTACATTTAGTCTGCACTGGAAGACAGTAAGTTTCAATAAGACCAGCGATTTTACAGTAATTAGCACCAACATGCATTAAAGGACTGATAAAATTGCAAAGAATACTAAGAGTGGAAACTCCAGTGCAAATTAAATGGCCTCATACAGACTTCCAGAGTCCAGCATCTCCCAGAGAATGGCGAGTTGGTCCAACACCTCCATCTGTTCTCTTTAACACATGTACCCAAGCCTACTTTTATTTAGAGAACACCTGCAGAATTAAGTAATGTAATGATTCCAGTTATCTCTAGTGCTGGGACCACCCTCGGAGTGTTTCACAGAACATTAATGAATTCAAATGATTTCAGATAACAATTTGTGATAACGAGTTAAAGCCTGAGTTGAACTGACAGACTGAGGTACCCATCAAAGTGCTTTCTTAATTTGGATGCCCTGAGGTTGCTAGGACTTGGCTCTTCTCTAACATAACCAGAACCTTTCCAGGACATCACATGTCTTACACAAAGTTCAGCTTTCATCTGCAGATGTGAACAATCATATTTTTGTAAATCTAGACCTAGCTTTCCCTTAGTTGCAAAGCCTGCTTGACGTTGTTTTCTGCATGGCACAGGAATACAGCTGGACAAACAGCAGGGGAAAGCAGTTTTACCTTAACAGTGATCTTTACTGTCTTACAGGAATGCTCACATTCGCACTCCATGCCTTCCAGTTTTAACAGTGGATAAACAAGGTTATAGAGACCATAATCTCCTTTCATATTTCTCTCTTGCGAAGACTGAACTTTTTTTTTCAAAATTTTAAGACTGTCATAACTACTTTCATTTTTTCAATGTCTTTGCATATGAAACTGCTCTCAGAAATAATCTCTCCCCTATGCAGGTAATTATAATGCATCATTAGGTCACTTGTGCAGTGTAAACGGGAAGAAATCATCTACTCACCATTGTGAAATAGGTTTTTCAGCCTTTGAATTTTTTCTTGTACCTCCTAACTTCTCCTCCTTACAGTGATTTTTCTAAGTATGTGAACTGGTCAGATGTTCAGTGACAACTGCCCTACAGGAGAAATGCTCCCTCCCCCAGTTCCCTACTTCTGGATGGCTTCTGAACCATTGTCCCATGAAACACAGATGCATTTTGATCTATGAAAGCAGCCAAACCTGTGCCAGCTCTTAACAGCTCTGGAATACAACCTGCAGCCCCATAGCAACCTCCCTCTGCACACCGTAACACTGACCTTGAGGACAGGTTTGACTTATCATGTTTTCCCATACTTCCTACCTGCCTTCAGGAAGGTTTTTCCACCCCAGAAACCTCACAGTAGTGCTTTGCCAGGAGAATCTGAAATACCCCAAGACCTAACTTCATCCTTTGCACTATGAATTTAAAACACTTTAAAAGCCTGGCTCCTACTGACCTGCAGTACTACTTCCTTCTTCTTTGCAGCCATCCTTCTGCAGGAACAAGGGTCTTCTGAGCAGGAGTCCCAAGTGCAAAGTACTGCAGATGTCCTCTAATTATGTGAATCCAGCTGCTGTTCAATCTGCACTACAGAGAAAGCTTTTTACGTGTCTTTGCTCTTCCAACCCACCACATACAGCCTGACAACCCTGCCCTTTTGGAAGGGAGCAGAGTTGGCTCAGCAGTGTCCAAAGCCTGGACACAGCTTTGCTGACACCCTTTTCACAGAGGCAGGGTGCTGCTGCTAGGCCAAAATTGCTGCTTGCTTTCGGCAGCCTGTCCCCACACAGGGCCCATCAGTACCTGTGCAGCAGCTGGCAGCACCCCAATGCTGCTATGGTAGCACCCCAACGCTGCTATGGCAGCCATAGCAATGCCAGGGGGAGCGGAAGCCAAGCCCAGCCCGCCCCGCTCCCTTATCCAAGTCCCCTGCAGACAGGAAGTTCAGCTCAGTCTTCTCTAATTCCCACTCATGCAGCAGCAGCTGCAGGTGGAGTCTCTCTGCCTCTCTTTTGTCTGTCAAACCTGCCCAGCTCCCCACAGCCCTGCCTAGAACTCAGGAGAGGGGATGAGCTGCTGGCCCCACTCCAAAGCCAGCTCAAGTTTTGAAAGTTGGTTGGTTTTATCCTTATTTGCAGTGAGAGGCCAGTGCCTGTGCCCAGCACACCCCAGGGCAATGTGCTTTTGAGCACGGCTGCTGCACAACTCGTCCCTTCACGTGCCTGGGGTCACTGGGCTCCAGATGCAGACACATAATGTCTGGTAGCCTGGTCCTCCAGCGGCCCAAGGTCGCTGCTGCTTGAGGATCTGGCTTTCGGCATGTAAACTCCCCTAGTGTGCCTGGTAACCTAAGGTGACATTGTCTAGTACCTGCAAGGGACATGGTAGTGCTGAACCTTGGTAGGGGCTCCCCTGCCTCCAGCACCAGCTCAGTAGAACAAACTGCACCCTGGATGCCCCCTGCATCTTTTTTTTTTTTTTGTAGGAATAAGCCTTGAGTAAAGTCCAGATGATTTTAACCACTACTGGAATTTTGCCTGTTTACACATATAATGTGCTTACACTTTAGGATTACCAACGACATTCCTGTTAAACCCATTTTCTGGTCTTCAAGAATCTACTCTCATTCTCAGTTATTCCTCCGCCTGTTCTGTCACTGCTTCAGCAGTTTCATGGAGGTGCAGCACCTAATGCAATTAGATCTACTGCAGGTTTAAGTCTGTAAGAACAAGTTTTAAAAAATCAAATGTTTTCCTTAAGAATATATTGGCACAATATGCTTTTAAGCAGACCACTTGGCTTCTTTCATAACTAAAATGCAAATCCGTGACATGAACAACAGCCAAGTAAGTCTCACTTGACTTTCTGAGTGGAAGACCACTACCCTGGCAACTAGCATGCCAAATTATTCACTTCTTTTAACACATGTAACCTTTAAGAGAAGCACTACCACTGCTGGACACTGATACATAGACTTGACATACATATCAAAATTAAGACTGCTTTTTAGAGGAGAAATGGCACAAGAACAGCAGAAATCCTGGTGATTGCTATTATGCCAACCTGAAGAACCTTGCTTTTGTTCTGCAAGCAAATATGTAAGTAACTCATAAGATGCTGTTACCTAAATGAAGTTGGTAAAGATCTGTCTGACCAGCAAACAAGTTTGTTCCCACTGTGAATCTCAGGCTAGCAACTGTCAGTCTGCAAAGAAGCTGGCACAGAAAGCTGAGGTTTCTCCATGAAGCTGAGAAAAATCTAGGTGTTCTGGTAAAGTTCTTTTATTTACAGTATTCTTCTTTTTGTACATACCTATAGCGACATCAAAAATTATTCACAAAGCTTAACTGAATGTAAAAATGTTCTCATCCAACAGTTTGTCCTACCAGTATCTGTGGAAAATGCCAACTGTTCTCATGCAGCAACAAGATTGTCCGAGCATTGGTTTTTATTGTTTCTGGAAGAATTTTAGGAAACCACCTTGAAACATGTACAGAGATGCCTACTCACCTTCTTCTGAACACCTTTAGGCACTGGAGTGTTAATAGAATCAAACTCAGATTTGTTTTTAGAAACATGAACTGGGGGAGGATGAGAAGAGGTATATAAAAACTTGAGCTCCTAAACATACATAGCAGGAGTGCAAATGTGGAAGTCAGATGCATGCTGTATAGTTTTGCGTTTACAATACCTGCTTTGGAAGGTCTTTTTCCCCATGTCAAGCAAAAAACCTATTTGACTGACTTTCGTGAGGAGACTCCATTTCTGAGGTACTGGTAATGATCAAGTTCTCACGTATTTTTACTTTTGCTTTTGTTCAGCCCCCAACATCCATCATGAAAAATTTGCAGAAGGACATTAAAAAAATGCCAGTCACTTACTGCAATGTCTAGGAAAAAAGTGTCAGGTGCTCACTTTTATTTGTCTTTCAAGGATGGAAGAAGTTACATGAAATGCATATATTGTCCTTTGCAACCAAGTGATAACAGTTATCTGATACATAGCACATTCAAATTCCAGGCCAAACTGTTGCCACATTTTCTGACACAAGTAGTTACCTTGGAAAAAAGTAAGGCTATCACAATGTGACCTTCTCATTAGAAATAAAAGACTAAGATACTTATCAAAATTGGTTAGCAAAGTTACAGACCTCTCTTCTTGCTGCAGCCTTCCTGAAGTTCAGTGTAACAAAAGGAAGATTTGGTTTAAGACATTGGCTGCCATCTCTAGTGTGCCAGTTAGTGCTATGTAAATACAGTGCTTGGAGATTCTGACTACTGGAACTATGGCCTAAACTGAAATCAGAAAGCGGACACAGGAAGAAAGCAAGAACCCTGAACTGCATGAAGGACAGCTCCTTGCTGCCCTCCTTTGTTCCTATGTATATTTGACTGGGGTCTCATCATATTCCAACCTTAACCTTACACAGTCGTCTTTTTCTGTATTTTTTTTCTCTCCACACTTACAGGCATAATTTCAGGAACTTATGAACAATCTAGGCTTCTGAATGCAGTAAAATCCCATCACTTATTATCCAGGTATCCAAATCCATGCAAGTGTGTATATCTGCATATATACAGAAAATCTGCAGCAACATAACTCAACTAAAAACAAAACAAAACCCAAACCCGCAAAAACCAAACCACCAAGCCCAATTTTTCCGTCCCTTCCCCAACTTAATGCACCCAGATGTTCTTTCACTTAAGTAATTTGTAAGTCACTTCACTATATCTGGAGGCAAAGGATGCAGAACGAAAGCAATCCCTTAATCACTGCTTGCCAGCTCCTCCTGGTCTCTTGAAAGTACAACTTCTGCAGTATAGTGTTTGCTCTATGATATTCATGATTAGCAAAAAAAAAAGATAAAAAAAATCACCAGTGAAATAAGCCAATCCTTCAGCAATTAGCTGAGCAAGTTCTTGGCTACTAAAGCAATAGCTTATGCCTGCTGATATTGCAGCCACCTGTTCCTTTCGAGACAAGTCAACAGTCATGCTAACTCTGAAGTATGAGCTTTTCTTCTAAAAACCAAAGAAACCCAAAGCAATCCAGTTCACCCATTCCATGGATTTGAGCATGTCATCAGTACCAGGTGACCTTGTACGGTGGCAAAAACCTCTTGGACCTCATCAGTACAGAATGCACTGCTTATAATTTAGGGTCTACTGTCTCGCTCTACTTTTCTCTTTAAAAAGGAAGTATAATGTAAGTTAAGCTGAAGTTCAGAAATGCATATATTTTACTTAAAAACATTCATCTGTTCAAAATTCAAAATAAACTTTATGGGATACAACAGTTTGGTTTTTCTTTTTAAATAACATTTCATTCAAACTGTATATAATTCATTGAAGTATTCGTACAGCAAACAATGGTTAATCCTTGAAAACCTGTAGAAAAAGATTTTCACACACACACACAAAAAAAAGGAAAAACAAAACTGAGGTCTCACACTCGCACACATTCACCCAAGCACACACTCGAGCACATCCTCACACATCCATACACAGGCTGCAGCAAAAGCAGAAAATTGTAGGCCCAAAAGGAAGGTGATGACTGATTGTTCTATCCGGAAGTCCAGGTAGCTCGGGGAAAAAAAAAAAACCAAAACCCAAAAAAAACCCAAAACAACCCCCCAGGAGTCCTCTGAGTAAAGAAACTACCTCAAGAAAATTCTCAAGTGCACTGGAGACCTGATCATTTAAACTGTTTCTGCAAAGCAGCTCCCTGCACCTGAGAAAAACGCAGCCCAAGGTGACTTGTGCAAATATAAGGAGTCAGGAATATCTCCTGTTATTCCTTAAGTAGACATGAGGGGTGTCCATAGATTCAATTAGTCTTTGATCATGCAAGATACTGCTGGAGTGCTGTCTTCGCCCTGCAATAAAGGAACAACCTGTCAGTTATTGGGGTTTGGCGTTACCAGCAACAGCTTTATGTACAAGACTGTACATGACGTACAGGATGAACGAGTGAGGTAAAAGGAGGCATGGCTGCCTCCTTCAGTTTGGAAGAATCAAGCCCATGGTGTAGAAGTGTTCTGCATGGGCTGTAACCATTTATGAATCCACCTTGCATCTAAGAATAAAATGGTCTATCCAAGTATACAGATGCTCAGCACAACTGAGCAACTTTTAAGGATGGCGGGGCTCAAGATATATATTGAACCTCGTTATCAACACACCTTAAGAGCAGTAATTGTGAAAAATAGTTACTTTTCTGAAATACATAGGTACCATGAAAAGTAGGTCTTTGACTTGGGAAATGAAAGAGGTGTCATAATTCAGCACATATTAGAAACAGGAATGCCATCCCTGACATATAATGTATGTTGAAACATACAATGATGTGAAAGGGAGAAAAGCACCAACAGCCACTGTAATACTGGAATTTATGTAATCTAACATTGTGCAACGTTTCTGTTAAGAAAAAACCACCTCCCAGAAGTCTAGGGTAACAGTTTCATAATCACTTCAGTTAATTGAGTGTTTCTTATCACCTGAAGTGAGCAGCTTTGCTTTTCTTGTCTCCCACACTTCCCAACCATGCTATCATGATTCTGACAGACTTTCCTAAGATCCAACACAATTCAGTGACTCTGAGGAAGATCACTTATTTTTTTCTTCCAAGTTTCCTGATGCCCTTGCAAGCTGTATCAGCTCATCACGGGGGCTGATGAGGCTGTTTGGACAGGGTAAACATCCAAACATCCCAGGTAAACCTGGGAGCAGGTGGCCAGAAGAAACAGGAGACACTGTCTTGGGACAGTGCTAAGCACAAGCACCTCCATGTCTCTTAAAAACAAGTCTTACATGTTGACAAGGAAGGCCCATTTACCAGGAGGTATTTTTACTGATAGAAGTTTTATTCCTATTTCTCACTGTTTGAAAACCTTATTTAGCTATTCCATAACTTTCTGTAAGCCTGCTTGTTGATATCTATTTGCTGCTGGTTATCACGTTCATCACAGACTTTTAAGCAGAAGTCCTAACTTTACTACAAAGTTGTCCAAGAATGCTAAGAGTGTCTTCCATAGAAACAAGAAACCCAAATCTAAACATTTTTAAATACTGCACAGTTTTGAGTTGTCTGCGTATGACCTCTTCCAAAAAACAGGTCATTTCCTTTAGTTCATGAAAGAGGTATGGGTAGGTCAGATAAATGTGAAAAGTTACCATAAAAAAACATAAACTTTCACAAGCTATTTTGGTTATTTGTCTTTGTGAAGAAGTTAAATGATCTGTGTAGATACTATGAGTGACCGAACAGGTATGTGAAAAGTTACTGTTGAGCTTAGTTTAAAAGAATTTGAGATCAACAACAGTGCTGATCCTGTATTACCTTTTTAATTCAGTGTTACGTGATTGTTCACTGTTGTTGCAATCCTCTGGAACTTTGTTAGTAACCCAAGGTTTACACAAGTATTTGTGTATCAGTGAGATATCAATGAGATTTCAGAGAGGACTTTCCACTGGTTTAGAAGACCTTATGTGCAGTTATTTTATACTATTGAGAGCTGCAGTAAAATTTGCTACTCCTGAGCAATACAAAACCTGTTCCTTAAGTACTCATCACTATTTCTTTCTATACCATAAAACTTAGTGCAACAATAAACAGGTTTTTCTGGGGACTTTTTTTAATAATCAAGATATTAAAAATAAATATTTTTCTTAATAAAAAGCAAAGATTTCCCTCTAATTATCTTTTTTGATTTTTTCTTTATACTCACTTGTCACACAGATTTGGATCTGATGACTGACTCAATTTATGTAGAATATCTACTATTCCCATGTCTCGTAGTTTATCTTGGCGTTCTTGTGAACCTACAATGATAAATCACACTGTTAGGAACACCACCAAAAATAAATGTCTGCAGGACAGAA